AAGCGATATTAGTAATGATTATAAACGAGAATTGTTAACGATATTGCCAATATCCACACAGCTGACAGCTTTACCAGTTGTAGTTTGTTCAAGTTGTGCTCGAAATAAATGCTGCTTTTCCTCACTTTCACTTCACACGTCTCTAATTTTGATCTCTCTTGCGCTGCACAACTGAGCTGCGTTTATCAGGTGTGCGACAATGCTGCTGTGCGGCAGAGATGAGGACTGTTTGAAACTCTTTTTTCCACTAAAACTTTGATGCGCATCGTCTCAGTTTAATACGTGAACATAACAAAAGATGTGATCGCAAAACAATCAGGAAAAAAGCCATTACATGCTAATTTTTAAGTTATAACATGTAAACACATAGGCCTAGTCACCAGTGGCGACCTCAGCAAAAACTTCACTCGCAATTTAATATTTTTTGTCGCAAATGCGACTGTTTCAGTCGCAGTTTGGAGCCCTAATTATATTGTAAAACCAATACAGCTTTTTAATTAAACAATAATAAATTAAATTATTACAAAAAGACCAAACATTCTTCAACTATTTTAGGCCTTTAAATCAGACTAATAAATTATTTACAGACAGTTACATCACTATTTTCTTTACTTTAAACCCCCAAGAAATTATCAAAATGAATTTGAATTCAGAAACTGTAACCTATTTCATTTAGAATAAGTGTATCCAAGTCATTGACTGCATGAATTCCTTTTTAAATGAACAAAACATGATCACCATTGACCTGCAAAACGTAAAAAAATGAGTTTTTCATTGTAAGTCAGTACGACTACACCTTAAAGGGGTCCTATTATGCTCTTTTACAAAGTCTTGATTTTGTTTTGGGGGTGTACTAGAACAGGTTGTTCGAAAAACACATTATTTTTCACATATTTTACATTACAACACCTCTCTCCCCAGTCTGGCATGAACGGCTCGAATAGTTCCTGTATCAAATGAAAGCCCACCTTCTGAAATACGAAATGTGCTGTGATTGGTTAGCTGGGCCAGTGTGTGTTGAGATTGGCAGCACTCGGCGCCTGGTCGGGAAACGTCATGCCCCTTACCATAACCGCCTGCGAGCTTCAGGGGAAATATTGCGTCAAAATCAAATCAATTTGAGCGTGATTTAAACCCAGATGATTGTAACCACTCTAAGTTCGTCTGCCTTGGGAAAGCTAGCGTGTCTCCGACATAGTGATAACACTCGTTGCCTTTTCTAGTGCAGCTCAACCAGGTCTCATCCAATTTGTCGATATTTGTGATATCACAAATCCCGGAAAATATGCATTGTAGTCCAAACGAGTCGTTCGTGTTAGTTTTTGAAAAGTGATTTCTGTTAAATAAAATATCAACTTTTGAATTGGACTTTGAGCTTTGTAA